GGCACCCTTCTGAGGGCAGCAGGGATTTTGGGAGCACGGAGTCCCACATGCAGCAGATCAACCCTTAAAACCACTGACACCTCAACCCCTAAAACGATCACAAGGAGGAAATCCTACTTTCCTCACTCCCCACTCTCCAGGATTTTATTCCAAGCACCCAAGCAGCCGGTTAGCACATCCAAACGTGAGCACAGATGTTTAGGGAAGAACCAGAAATGCTGCTCGGCTGGACCCGGAGTGTGAGGCAGCCCCGTGTCCCTCCCGGGGTGGCAGCAGCAGCAGCAGTGCCAAATTGACATCCGGCAAACCACGGGAACAAAGGCAGGGAGCTCGGTGCTTTTGTCCCTGCCTGCTCCACTCACGCACATGGTTTGTTCCTCCTGCCCAATTTCATGGCTTGGCAGGGAAAAAGGGATGGGCAGAGTTGGGGCTGTAGTGAAAGGAAAGCACAAGAAGAAAGATTTTTTTGGTGAATATCACAACCACGGGTTAACTGAGAGGCTGTGCTTGGGCTGTGAGAGTTTGCAGAGGACATTTCCAGGCAGTTTTCACACCTCTTTATCCCGCAAAAATCAGTGAGCAGCGGCATTCTGCTCCAGGATGCCGAGAAGGGTAAAAGCCTGTAAAGTTTCATCATGGGTGTGAATTCATGAAGTTTAAAAAAACCCTATAAAATAAAAAAATTCTAACACATGCCTGTCCTGGTCCTGTACTCTTCCAGCTGCCTCCACTCCTAGCTGCTGGACTACATGGATTTTGGGCTGACTTGGGAAGGCTTTTTTGACACCAATTCGCTTGGAGGAAGAGTTCATTCCTCTTGGGTGTGTGGCTGTTTCGGCTTTTCCTGGGGCCGAGGCTGTAAGTCAGCTTCAGGCTGGTCCTTGGAGGACCTTGCTTGGCCTGAGGAGGCATCTGAGGTCATGAAAAGGAGCTGAGCTGCTGCTGTGCTGCAGATGAACGGATTATTTCCCACTCCTGCATTAGGAGCTCTGTGGATTTAGTAATTTCTCCACTATGACGCTGCTTTTATCGCCACTCCAGCCCTTCCTCCGCACATCCTTCCTTCCTCCATCCACCCGGGAGCACCTGGAGACGCCTCTAAGCCACCAGACCGTGGTGTTTATCCCAGGAGCTCTGGGGAGGAGCAGGCTTGAAGGCTGGAGGGTGAGACAAAGCACAGAGAACACCCACGGGAGGCTGTCCCCAGAAACCACTGGAGGTGTGAATGCGGCGCTCAGAGGGATCATCTGGTGTTGAATCTGTAGTGTCTGTCTCTCTTCGTTGTCCTGTGTTCCCCTGCTCTCCCCCATTAACCCTTTCCGGGGGGAGCCCGACTGTATCACCCAGCCCCGCGGGATCCAGCGCCGCCTTTCCCGGGAGGAAGGAGCCCGGTTAAACCCTCGATGCTCTTTTCCCTCCGAGTTAATATCCCAGAGGCTCCCATGGGACTCCCAGGCTCTTCAGCCCTTAAATGATCCTGCAGCACCTGGCTTCGTTATCCAGTGAGTGGGAAATCCTTGGAAAGGCAAGGAGTAGGTGAAGGGAAGAAGGAGAGGATGCTGACCATGACAAAAGTCTCCCCGAGGTCTTTTCACTTCCATCAAGGCTCAAAAAGTGGGATGGGCGTTCCCTGCACGGTAATTCCCATTGCTGCCTCTCGCAGCTCACGCTGCCCCGGGAAAGCGGCTCCGTGGGCAGAGCTCATCCCTGAAAAGAGGGGAGAAGAGGGGACAGCCCCCCCCCCCCCCACCCCCCGGGGGGGCCGCGCCGCCCCCCCCCCCCCCCCCCAGCAGCTGGAGAGCCTAGTCCGTGCTTTGTCCCACCACCAGCTCTTCCAGCAGTGCCGCCGCAGAGGTGGCAGCTCAGCGCTGTTCCCAGCATTTGTCACGGGCATGCCATTCATTATCCCCGCGATCCCCAGCAACGGGGGCAGCCCTAATTACAGCCCCGCTTTGTTTGGACTGGTGTCTCTGCCTTGAACGGAGAAACAAAAGGCAGCCGATCGGGACAAGCGATGCTACAAAGGAAGGAGCAGGGGAGGCAGAGAGGATTCTGCGTGCTCCAAGAGTTGGGGATGCTCCCTGCAAATCGATCTTCCCCTTCTCCAGCTCACGAGATTTGGCAGAGAGCTCCGGCTGAAACTGCTTCTCAGAGGTTTCGCTTTGCCCGGGTGATGAAGGGCTAATTGGATGCAGATTAAAAATCACTATTAGGGATAATCCCTGCGCGGCCGTGGAAGCGCGGGGAGCATCCCTCCCTCAGCTCCGGGACCCCGGGGCCCTTTGTATTTCCCCCCGAAAAAAAAAAAAAAAAAGAAAAAAAAAAGAAAAAAAGATAGTTAGAAGCGCAGGATGAGCTGGGGGAAGGGAGATGGAATGAGGGAAAGCTGGGAAGAAATAATTGCCATGTCTGAAAACAGTTACTATGGCAGCGACAGTCTTCGCGCCGCCGGAGCGAAATGTTGGGGACCAGCAGCGGTCCCTTTGTCACATCCTCAGACACACATTTAGATGCTAATGCTGCCTTTAACCTTGGCTGCTTAACCTTGATGGGAGGGGAAGGGCGGCGATGGGGGAGAAAAAGCAGCGAGAGGCGGGGGGGTTTACGGAAAATACGGGTTTCCTCTCCCTAAATTTGCCACCGAATGGACTTGGCAGACTCCTCTCAGCTGCGATTAACGCTGTTATTTCTGCGTTTAATATTCCGCGGAGGTTTTACCAGCTTATTTATGGATAGCTGGCATTAGCAGCAGCATAATTCACCGCTGCGACGCTCCCGTTTATCTCCATCCCCTCGGGATTGTCTCATCTGGGGCCGGTTTGGAGAACACCCCCAGGTTTGATCGGCCTGGCTATCTAATCTCGCCTTTATTTAGAACCGCCGTGAAAAAAGGAGGGGTGCGCAGGAGGGAAGACTCCCCTTTAGACTTTGGATGGCGGGGAAAGGAATTTTGGTGGCCTGTGGGGCTTTTCTTGAGGCTCCAAGGTGTCTCCAGCTTTTGGAGCTGAAAAAACATCTTGTTCCACATGGAAGAGGGAGGAAGAGAGGGAGGGAAGGAGAGGGGGAATTCCCTGGGGAGCGCTACCTGGCTGAAACAGCATCTCTTGCACTCCCGACCCCGAGCATGGGCTCACTGCCCGAAGGTAAATTCCTAAGTCCCAGCCCTACTGCACACAGATTAGCCACTAATTCCGGGTGCAGCCCGGGACGCCCTGGCTTTGGGATTATCCTTAACTGCAGCCTTTAAGGAAGCTTTGGCTGGAGCGATTCGGGCAGAGGAGATGAGAGCCGTGCCGGATCTGCCGCTCACAGATTTAACCCTATTCTTCTGCTTCTGGCATTTTAAATTTATTTTTAAAGCTCCGGGTCCTGGACTCAGTGATCACTTGCAGCTTTCTCCACGTGCTCTCGGAACCTCATTTCTCTGGCGTGGTGGCAGACTAAAGCCTGAGCTCACACCAGCTCAAAGATCAGTCTAGGACAGCCCTTCTGAACAAAGTATTTCCATTTTCCAGCCCATCCAGTGCCTGTGCCTCGACTTTGGATCGGCAACGGCGCCTCACTCGTGTCAAGGAGTGTTTCTCCCACCTGCACGATGCCAGGCACAGAGTTCCCTGCTGTTTTCCCGCTGTCACCACAGGATGATTTCCACAAAACTGTGCCCAGTGTCACCTCTGAGGGCTGCAGAAGCAAGCTGCCTGTATTTTTAATGATGGCATGTGTTAATAGGGAAACTTATCTCCACACAAAGCCTCCACACGCATCCTCGGGATGAAATATGAGGGTGAGGAATGATCCCACTCCAGCCCGACAAATCCTCACCACACACTGAGGGGTGAAAGCATCTTACATTAAAAGCAGTATCTGTCTTCTGCAGTGCACTTCTTTCTCTGGGGCTTTTGGCTGAGCTGTCACATGGAGTCGATATTTATTTTACAAAGGCTGTAAAAGAGGCAATGGGTAATATTGTAGCAACCAGCCTGCTGCTGCTTTTTGGCTCCGGAGCAAGAGCAGAAATAAAAGCAAGAGCTCTGGCTCAGGTTTTGCGCAGAAGAGCTGGGGCTGCCTGGAAGTGTTCAAGGTCAGGTTGGATGGGGCTTGGAGCAACCTGAGGTAGTGCAAGGTGTTCCTACCCGTGGCAGGGGGGTGGAACTGGATCTTTAGTTGGAAGCAGATCTTTAAGGTCTCTCCTGTGAGTAACTGGGACAGAAGTTCCATGGCTCAGCTATCCAGAGACTTCAGGAGCTTTATCAGGGGTTGAGGACACTCACAACCTTTACAAAATATGAGACCCAAAAGGCATTAATGGCTGCGATCAATGCTTAGTGCCAGCCCTGCCCTGGATCCAGCACAGGTGAGGTTTTCCCCCTGTGGCATCTCTCTGCCTGGGGACGCTGTGACAGCTGCAGGGGACACAGATGCTCCGCATTGCTCTGGTGCTTTCCAGCTCGAATCATCACTGGTGCCAGGTGTCCCTGAAAAGCTGTGCCTGAGTAGCTTCTGGTGCAGCCCCTGGTATCTCACGTGCAAGGAATAATCCCAGAATCCCAGAATGGTTTGGGTTGGAAGGGACCTGAAAAAACCACCTCATTCCACCCCCTGTCATGGGCAGGGAAACCTTCCACTATCCCAGGTAGCTCCAAGCCCCGTCCAACCTGGCCTTGGACGCTTCCAGGGGCGGAGCAGCCCCACCTTGGCTTGGTTACCATTTTTAAGGGGTTTTTTGACTGCTTGCTGCGGTGGGTCACGATGACAAACATAAGAATAACCAAGCCTCCAGCACAGAGGGATGGCGCTCCCGGAGGTCCCCGAGGAGCAGAAGCTCGGGCAGGGCCAGGTGAACGCAGGCAGAGGCGATCCGGGGAGGACGCGGGGCGGAGCGGGAGGAAGGCGGCGGCGCGGCCCCTCCTCCTCCTCCTCTCCTCCTCTTTCTCTTCCTCCTCCTCCTTTCCCTCCTCCTCCTCCTCCTCCTCCTCCTGCCGGGCGGGGCCAGGGTCGGCAGTCCCGGCGCGCTGCCGCCGCGTGGAGCCGCGCTGCGTGTTCCCGATCCCATATCCCCGATCCCATATCCCCGATCCCCGTTCCCGGCTCCCTCCGCCGCCCCGAGCCGTGCCCCCGCTGCGGGCCGGCGGCGCGGGGATGGGCGCGGGGCTGTGAGCGCGGCCGGGAGCCGTGGCCATGGGGAACATCTCCTCTAACATCTCCGCCTTCCAGTCCCTGCACATCGTCATGCTGGGCCTGGATTCGGCGGGCAAGACCACGGTGCTCTACCGCCTCAAGTTCAACGAGTTCGTCAACACCGTGCCCACCATCGGCTTCAACACGGAGAAGATCCGGCTCAGCAACGGGACGGCCAAGGGCATCAGCTGCCACTTCTGGGACGTGGGCGGCCAGGAGAAGCTGCGCCCGCTCTGGAAGTCCTACAGCCGCTGCACCGATGGCATCATCTACGTGGTGGACTCAGTGGACGTGGACCGGCTGGAGGAAGCCAAAACGGAGCTGCACAAGGTGACCAAGTTCGCGGAGAACCAGGGCACCCCGCTGCTGGTCATCGCCAACAAGCAGGACCTGCCCAAATCGCTGCCGGTGGCCGAGATCGAGAAGCAGCTGGCCCTCCACGAGCTGACCCCTTCCACCACCTACCACATCCAGCCCGCCTGCGCCATCATCGGCGAGGGGCTGACGGAGGGCATGGACAAGCTCTACGAGATGATCCTCAAGCGCAGGAAGTCCCTCAAGCAGAAGAAGAAGCGGTAGAAGCCCAGCCGAGGCGGGGAGGGATGGGGGAGCAGACAAAGGAACCGAGGGGGAGACAGAACCAAAGCGATTCTTTTGGGTTTAATAGTTCTTTTTTTTTTTTTTTTTTTTTCCTCTTCATTTTTTTTCCTCCTTCCCCAAAGGACAGACAATAGTGGTGATAACAAAGCGGCTCCCGCCAGCCGAGCCCAGATCCCGGAGCTCCCCTCTCCCACCGCCCCGTGCTCCTGAGGGTCTGATCAGGACTCTCCTTGGGCTGGAAACACGGAAAAACCGGGATGAATCCCCCCGGGATGAATCCCCCCTCTCCATCTCCGGGACCACCGAGCCTTTGTGTGCCGGGGAACCAGCAGGGCAGGACCCTGTTGAAGCGCGTTCGAGCGGAGCCCAGCGTGCTTTTGGATCTTTAACGAGGGCATTTGGGGGCGTCGATGCCAGCCCCCCACATGCCTTTTGGGGCGGGGGGTCGGTGCTGCGGGGGATGTGGATGCACCGTGGCTCGGCAAGGTCAGCGGGGAGGAGGCTTGCAGCCCTCATCCCTGCATCCCTGGATCCCTCCCCCGCGGGTGGCGGTGGGAAGGGGTGTTGAAAGCTTGGGTGGGGGGGTTGGACCAGCAGAAAATGTCTTGGAGAGGTGGGTGTGATGGGTAAGGGGACATCCCCCACCCTGGCTGGTGTTTTGGGGTGCAGAGCAAGGACGGGCAGTCTTTGGCTTGGGGGGGAGGATGCGACACTGGGGTGCTAAGCAGCTGCTGAATGGTGCAGAGTTTGAAGCTCTTGGCTCAAAAAAACGGTGAAAAAAAGAAAAAGAATGCCGAAGGGTTTGGGGTGAACGCTGCTGGGAGCGTCGGGGGGGTTGTGCAGCACCCCCGTTTCTCCGAGGCTCGGCGGTGTCACCCTCTGCAGCAAAGCCCGCCGCAGGTGTGCATTGTCCCCGTGCTCAGGGTGCTCACAGGTGCGGCTTTGGAGGTGATCCAAACTAGGGGTTACTTAGCAAAACCCCCCAAAAAAGGCAGAGTTTGGGGTTCTGGCCACTGTGCTGCTCTGCAGTGGGGCAGGAGGCCAAGTCAGGGAGGGTCATGGCAGGGCAGGATGGATGGATGGACACACAGAGATGGCCAGAGCCTGCAAAAAATCTCTGCTGGAAAGGGAAAATGGCAGGGGGTGAAGAGGTGTGGGGGGGGTTGTGGTAGGTTTCTAATAAAGATTCAAACCCGATTAAAAGCCCCTCGCTTCCCCCGGTAGCCACAGGGGCAAGTTGTGCCTGCAGAGCAGCCTGAGCCGGGCAGGGCCAGGCCTGGCCGCCTCCTCCTGCGGGTGAACATTTCATACCTGCGTGGGGCTGGGGACCAAAATCCACTTGCTGTCTGTGTTTCAGCCTGGGATCCAGCTCTCTGGGGTCTTGGCTTCCCACAGAGCTGAAGCAGGCAGCCCTCAGGAGCCAAATGTGCTGAATTTGGAGGCAGGCAGGATTCTCTGGTGATTTTACACCGGCTTTCCCGTTTGCAAACCCCTTCTCAGAGCAGCCAGGGGGGAAGCACCAAGCAGACAAAAGCAAAATGCCCTTCGGGTTTTGGGGAGATACCTTCCCCTTGCAGCGAGGAGCACCTTTCAAACAGCATTTTTGGGGGGCGGGGTGGGGGGTTTGTAAGGGAACAAATGTTGCAGCCGAGTTGTTTCTTCTCCTCTTGTGGGGTTTGAGTTCCCGATCTGTGTGGGCTGGTCCCATCCCTTCAGGTGGCTCCCTCGGGTTTCCCTGCTTTGTCTTCACCTCCAACACTTTGGTACTTGCTGTTGAGAGAGACAGAGAGAGAGAAAAAAGAATTATTTATTTTTGATGCCACAGAAGCCACATGTATTAACCCATTTTTGGGAGAGCGACCTGTTTGAAATGTAGAAGCTGTGTTGACCCCAGCAGCTCCAGGGTGATCAGGTTTTAGGAATGACACTGTTGGTGGTGGGTTTTTTTACCTCCTGGCTGGTCTCGGTTTAGCAAATGGACAGGCTGTTTTTATGGAGCTGGGTCCTTCCTGGATTCCACCCAGCTGAGCATCCCTTTGGAGAGATGGCAGAGGGCTGGGAAGTTCGGGTGGGACGCCGTGCCCATGCCCTTGCCAGCCACTCTGCTTTCTGCAATAATTAAAAAGACTTTTCCAACCAGTAGCTCTTGGCTTCCGTGGTGTTTCCGTAATGTTCCACCCGCTTTTCCCGCCGTGAGAAGATGAGCGTCGCCCTCGGTGGGCTGCGAGAAGAGGGCCCTCGGCAGAGCAGCCCCCAAGGGGAACTGTCTGGGCTCTTTGCAAGGCTGTGCATCTTCTCAGATTCTGGATGACCTGGGTTTTTTGGCAGGTCTCGTTCCCCCAGGTCCATTCCCCATGTTCCCATCCCGTGTCCTGCCCTCGCCATTGTCCGTCAGTCTCTGTTCCTCCCGTCTTCCCTTTTTTTTTTTTCAGTTTTTTTTTCTTTTTAAAGATGCAGACATAATGCTGTGAACTGAAATAAATTATTTATACAATGAAAGGGCCTGATAAAAAAAAAAAAACAACAAAAAAAAAAAAAACCAACAACCAACCAAAACCCAGTGTTCTGCTCATTTCTCAGTATCAATGCTGCATTTTGTGTGATTTAAAGGAGGTCCCTGTGCCTCCCCGAGGAGAGGAGACAAGAGGACAGAAAAGTGACCTGCTGAGGATCCAGTGTCACGGGTCTGTCACGTGGCAGCCTGCTAGGACATGGGGGACATCCATAATTTGCTGGTTAATGAAATCTGAGCTCTTTGGCAGGTCACTTAATGTCTCTGCATCCCTGCTGCTGTCTGTGGGAGAGGAGGATACTTTTTGTGGGGGGAGGATTTTGTTCCACCACCTCTTCTGATTTGAAATCCATGTTAGGGGGGCGGTCATGCAGAGAGAAAGTTCCCATTTTTGCTCAGCATGGCTTTTTTTAAACGGGTGGCCTCGGGCGAGCGAGTGGTGTCGGTGGCAGAGAGCCAGGTCTGCAGGGGTTAAAACAGCATTTGGGAACAGGATGCTGCAGACAGAGCTCGAGGCTGCCTCTGCTCCTGGGTGGCTGCTGACACAGGAAACCCAGAGTGACATTTTGGGGGGGAGCGGTGGAGCTGGGTGGCAAACCACTTTTTTTTTCTTTTTTTTTTTTTAATTTTTAAATTTTTTTTAAATGATGACGAGGCAGCCAGAGGGGAAATGATGAGCCTGATTTGTGAAAGTGAGATTTGGAAGGGCTTGGGGTGTTCTCACCCTGCCTGAGGTTTGTGGTGTGCACAGTGCCTGGGTGAGGGGATGTGGTGTCTGCTCTGCAGGGTCAGGGCTGGGGGCTCTGAGGGGTGACAGGAGCCCAGGGCACGGCTGGAGCTGTGCCAGGGCACGTTTAGGCTGGATTTTAGGAAAAGGTTCTTCCCCCAGAGAGTGCTGGCACTGCCCAGACTCCCCCAGGGAAAGGGCACAGCCCCAGGCTGCCAGAGCCCAAGGAACATTTGGACAATGCTCCCAGGGGTGCACAGGGTGGGATTGTTGGGCTGTCTGTGCACGGCCAGGGCTTGGACTCCATGATCCTTGTGGGTCCCTTCCAGCTCAGGAGATTCCATGGTTCTTTGAACCCAAAGGTTTATCCAGCTCTGCAGCTGCTGAGCTGCTATCGAGGCTCAGAAATCCCTTGGAGCTGAGTGGGACCATGGCATTCCAGGATTGAGCTGCACATTGCTCAGCTGTCCCCTGACGCTGCAGAGAGCCTCTGTAAGTTGCAGTGTTCCCCGCAAGCTCCCTCCTCACCCAGAGCATCACTGATGGGCTCCTGTCCCTCTGCCACACAGTCCAGTGTTCCTGAAGATGCTCCTGACCATCCTCTGGCCCCATTTTCCATGGGATACTGTGTGCTCCTCCAGGTTTCACAGATCTGAAAGCCCAGCAGTGCCCACACCTTCCTTAGCCTGAAGCGACTTGTCCTCACCGATCCCACCTGGCAGAAGCTGATTTTTGGGGGTTTTCCAACTGGCCTGGATGCTGACTTTGTGTCCCTGGGCTTATCTGTGTGCCAGGGGAGCTGGACTTCGGTTCCTTGGGTGCCACATGGAGCTGAGGGAGGCTTTCCTCCTGCTTTAAAGGGGGAACCGTGCCTTTGCCTGCAGTGGAGGAAGAGAAACAGCTGCTGTGGCTTTGCGAGGCTGTGACCGGGGGTGTGTGACTCCGCAGCTGGGATTTCTCCTCCCAGGCTTTGCGGGAAGGGGCGGGAGGGGCTGTGCCCTGTGGCCAGCAGAGCTCCTTGTGCTTCCACGGCCACCCTCCTCGGAGCAGCCTGTCCCGCTGGCCAGAGCGCCTCTGTCAGCACGGGGGAGGCGGTGTTTGGGCCGGTTGTGATGAGAACATTGTCAGGAGAACGTGGCACAAGGGGCTGCTGGCCCTGATGGATGGGGATGGATGGGGATGCGCCGCCGCCGCGGGCAGGCAGAGCAGCGAGGGACAGTCCCCGGCGTGGTGTTTGGGGACCCTGGTGGCACACGGAGCTGCCAGGCAGTGCCCAAGGATGCTGCAGTCCCTGCACGGGACTGGCCGGGAGATAAAGCAGTTTGGGCTGTGTCAGCTGACAAGGAGCTGGGACATTCCAAGAGGATGGATCAGGGCTGGGAGCGGCGGGAGATGGGGTCGGGACAGCGGTGAGCAGAGATGAGGCATCTGTTTTAAAGTGATGGTCATCCTTAGCCCACCCCAAAATGTCCCTGGTGGATCTCCCCTCTCTGCAGGGCACCAGGGAAGGCTCTCTCTGAGTGTCCCCTTGGTGTATCCCGCTTTTCCAAGTAGGCAGCTTCCTGACCTCTCCTCCACCCTTGGAGCCCCTCTGCTGCAGGTCCTGCCTTGCCTCGTGCTGTACCAGCCACAAAAGGTCCTTCTGCCTCTCTTCCCTGGCTTTGCCTTGTTAAGCTAAATCCCTCTGCTTTATTTCAAATGGGATTTGCTTCCCAAGCAAGGATCTTTAAAAGGATCATCCTGGTTAATGCAATCCGGAGGGCGCTGGATCCCTGGAGTGTGGAGCAGGGCACTGGCGGCTACTGCACAGCAGCAGATGCTTCTGGCCAAATTTTGGGGTGGGCTGAGGATGACCATCCCTTTAAAACAGGTTAGAAACCGCTGCCAGAAGAAAGAAAAAAATCCCACAGTGATGCAAGTGTTGTTGGCTTTGTTTCAGGCAGCCCCATCCTGGAGCTTCTTCAATGGGAATTACCCCCAAATCAGCAGAACTTTTTGTCTGAGTAGCAAAAGGCCACTGCTGTGAGTTACTTTAAGCACTTTGCACACACACCATGCAAAAAAAAAAAAAAAAAAAAAAAAAAAAGCCTCGTGCTGGCCTGGCAGAGCAAAATTGAGACATTTCAGCATGAGGATGTTTGAATATGGAGAGTTCAGCCTGGGAATATTTGCTCTAATAAACCATTCTGTTTATTTCAGCTTAGCCTGTGTTTGCTTCCCTCAGACATTTGTGTGAGATTTCAGGCAGGGAAGCTCACCAAGCCCATCAAACTCTCCAGCAATGACATTAAAACACTGCTGGAAGGTGAGTTATGGAGCCTGGACACCCCCCAGGTGAGCAGAAGGAATTCCATGTGTCCCATGACCCCTGTCCTCCCTCCCTGACAGCCCTGACTGATGGCGTCCCACAGCTTCCCAAAACACTGGAAGCACAATGGGAATTTGTGAGAGGGGCAGAGAGCTCTTCATCAGCCCACAGATTAGATTCTTCTCATTTATTATGAGTCATCCTTATTTATTGCCCTGAATGTTATCATAGATAGGAATTCTTATTATTGATATTAGCAATATTATAATACATGTATTTATTAATAAATAGTGATAAAACCAGTAAATAAATAACAAAAGAGTGGTGAGGCACGGGGTGCCCAGAGCAGCTGTGGCTGCCCCATCCTTGGAAGTGTCCCAGGCCAGGCTGGACAGGGCTTGGAGCACCCTGGGCTAGTGGAAGGTGTCCCTGCTCAAGGCAGGGGGGTGGAATGGGATAAGCTTTAAAGTCTTTTCCACCTCAAACCATTCTGGGATTATTTTTATTGCCCGGTCCAAATTTTGCAGCTGGGGTGAGCTGCTCTGGTTCTCATAATGCCGTGGTGCTGGAGCATTCCCAAAAGAAGGGGCTGGGGAAACAGGCACTCCCAAAGCTCCTGATCCCAGCTGGTGTTGCTTTCAAGTATCTTGCTGCCAGGAAGAGAGCAGGATGCAAAGCTGGGCCTAAATGCAGGTTTGTTTTTGATACTCCTGCCTCACCTTGGTCACATGACTTAACTTGCCCCAAACTTCTTTTCCACAGGAATAAAAGGAAAATTCCAGCATTTTTCCTCCTCCCTGGGCTTCAGAAAGAAATTGGGGCTGGTGTCATTCTCAGATCCCCATGGTAAAGATGCTCACCCTGCAGGATTGTCCCTTCCCTGGTGGAGAAAGGGGCTGAAGGCTGAGGGTGGGGGGAGATTCCTGCAGATCCAGGTGCTCCTGCCGTGCCATGGCCACGTTATTGGGTCCCAAATTATTATTGGGTCCCAAATTATTATTGGCGAATGATTTCTGCTCTGGGATAAGAAGCTCAGGGTGTCCCCCAGACTCTCAGCTGGAGGGGGCAGGGATGCTTTTCCGGGGCTAGGCTGAGGTGTTTTGGGGGGTCTGTTTGCCTGGGCACCCCAAACTGGGCACCCAGAGCTGCACCAGGGCTGCCTGGGCACCTTGGCTCAGCCCCCAGCAGCTCCAGGCCACTCTGGTTTCATTTCTGAGCTCCCTGAAACCCTCCTGCAGCCTCATCCTGCAGGAGATGGCTGTGAGAGGGAAGGTGAGACCCACCCTCAGCCCTGACCCCGCAGCTGGGGGGTCCCTGCAGCCGCGGGGATGGCACAGGGCTGGGCAGGAGCTCCTGTGCCCACCACAGCACGGTGCCAGGCCAGGGCTGCAGGGCTGGGAGCAGCTCAGGACTCTGCACCCAGCAGAGGTGAAGGCCTGCTGTGGCAGTGGGAAGGGGGAACACAGGGCTGTTGTTGTGCTGGTTAATGTTTAAACAGCCCTGGAAAGCCCCTCCTGCCCTCCCTTCCAGCTCTTTGGCAGCTTCCCCACCCTTCTGCTGCCTGGTGGGGATGTGCAGGGGATGCAGAGGGAACGGCAGTGCTGCAGGTGTCCATCCTCCCAGGATGGGCTGTGCTCTTCCCAAGCATCCTTGGAAAACACCTGGGTGCTTGGAGGGAGCTGCTGGAGAGGACAGTGGGGGCTGGGGGGAAATAAACACCAAAATAACGACTGATGACCCATACAGAATCACAGAATCACAGAATTCCAGAATGGTTTGGGTTGGAAAGGCCTTAAAGCTCATCCAGTGCCATGGGCAGGGACACCTTCCACTGTTCCAGGTTTCTCCAGCCCGGCCTTGGACACTTCCAGGGATCCAGGGGCAGCCACAGCTTCTCT